CGACGTTGTGATAAATATGGCGATAAGGACAATAGTCCGAATAACGTAAATTCTATCCATGCTAAAAAAAATCAAGCCTTTTCGGCTTGATTTTTTTTGCCGGCTCCGGCATACTGAATTCACACTTGTCTAACTTACCCATATTGTCCGCAGTCATCCAAAAGCTCTGTAAGACATTCGAAAACATGTATGGAACATGACAAAACAACGTCCAACTTTAACTCTGTATTACATCAAGAATCGTAAGACATGTGGATAATGAGATTTGCCAAACGTATCCAAATACCTGAAAAAATAACTGAGTAACAGGAAAGTCTTGTTAGATAATAAGATATATAGTGTAACAACGAACAGCTTTGCCGAATTGCTATGTAATATCAATTCTCAAATATGGCAATGAATGCTGGACAATTTCCTCACGGATGAAGAGTAGACAAGGCAACAGAAATATAGTTCTACGGAAGAATGCTGAGAATACCGTGGTCGGAAGATGTGAGCAACGAACAAGTTTTAAGGAAAATGGAATCAAAAGAAGATACTTCTACTTAAAATCCGAAAGTGACAGTTGAAATTTCAGGGACATATTATAAGGAAATAGAAAATGGAGAATCTGAGGCTTAAAGGATAAAATAAATGTAAAAGGAGAGAAAGAAACATGAAGTAATACACCAAACATACTTGTGTAAATGGATGGCAGAACATGGACCTTAAAGGGAGAGACATTATTACCACGGCGCTCGTTAAAATATACGTTATATAAAAAAGATGATGTTTGTATGCATGCTATATTACTGACCTCAGGACAATAGAGAGCGTATGTATATGGATTCTGAGTAATATGCTTTTAACAGTCTAACCGTTGTTCGTTGTTTAATCGTTGTTTCTCATAGGGATTTGTATAAAAATGAACATAAATATCATGCCCAGAATTTGAACTTCGCTAAGCGTCACGGTACTCGCATTTACATCATCAATACAATCTTACAATTGAAATGGCTAGTTCTAACCCAAAGTTCTATACTAGCAACTTATTCTCTCGTACTTCTCACTTGTGGAACTCTCTCCCGTCTTCTTGCCTTCCACTCAACTTAGACCGCCAAAAGTCAGTTGTTATCTACTGTCGTCTTATATTCCTGTTCTTTTATTGGTCTCTCTCACTAATAGTGTTTTTCTTTTTCTCACTGTGTCACACTCAGTAACCCCTTGCATCTTAGTAGTGGCTTGGGATGAAGTGATAAAAATATTACATACATACATACATACATACATACATACATGCATACATACATATATATATATATATATATATATATATATATATATATATATATAATAAAATTACACACACACACACACACATATATGTGTGCGTGTGTGCGTGTGTGTGTGTGTGTGTGTATATATAGCGAGTGTAACAGCAAAATTGTCCGAATCGTGTGAAAGCATAATTGTCCATCCCACAAAATGTTTAATATTTAAAAAAACACAAAACTAATTCAGTCACTTTTTCCAGATCTTCAGATAAAACGTTTAGCCATCTTGACACTATTTATCACAAGAATCACTGAAAGCCCCTTTGAGTTATTTAGCTAGAAAGAGAACAGGTTAAAATCGTTTTGTTTCGGCTACTCTATATCTTCCTAAGTGAGCAATAGTGAGAGGAAAAAGATCATTCAGGCCTTCAGTAATGGCCCCAACATTCATACTCTGACATTCATCTTCAAAATCCTTTCAAGAACCATCAAGAGAACGGTAAATAAGTTTAAAAAAGAGGGAACAGAAGAAAGGATAACTGGATCAAAAGGTTACAACAGGAAGCGGGATCCTCATTTCAACTTTGAGAGCTAAGGAGACCAATTGCAGGAGATGCAACTGAATTCATAAGAGGTTTGGCACATAAAAGAGAAATTTCAGCTATGATAGCCCAAAGAGCAGTGTAAAAAGACTTGAAAATGAAGTCGTACGTGAAACCTGTGAGGCGCCTTGTTATTCCAGGAAAATCCCAGTAAGATATCTTTAATCATTTCGAAGATAAAACGGTTCACAGCTTAATCTAACAATTGGTCAATTGCTGTTACGCGATTTGAACAATTTTGCTGTAACACATGGTACACACACACACACGCGCGCGCGCGCACACACACACACACACACACACACACACACACACACACACACACACACACATATATATATATATATATATATATATATATCGTGGAGGAAAACAAATATTTGTACACATACAAATTTTTAATTTACTGCATTTCCAACTAATGAATAAACATAAATTTCATATAATTGACTGTACACAGATGCATAATAACTAAATATGCATAGAAAACAGAAAAAGATTTAATAGAAATAAATGCCATTTATCAATTTGAATGGATGAAAAAGTATTCGTACAATACAAAAAAAGAATATATAATCTTCATTTAATACTTTGTAGAATAGCCATTATTCACTTCTACAGTAACTAAATTCTTCTTGTAGTTCTCAATTTATGGTTTTCAAATTTTAGTTGGTATTTTGCTTCATTATTCTTCGCATATGGTCTTCAGATCCAGGATTTTTGTTGGAGCTCTCGAGGGGATTGGAATTTTCAAATAACGCCACAGATTCTTGATTGAGTTTTAATCTGGGGACTGACTTGGCCATTTCAGGATATTTACATTATCTTCAGCAAGCCATTTCTTCGTAGATTTTGCAGTGGGCTTAGGATCATTATCTTGTTGGAAGATCCAATCAGGAGGCAGTTCAAGATTTTCAATCGAAATCATAATGTTTGCTTCCAAAATATTTTGACGATGTGACATTCATTCTATCATTTGTTACTGATATGTTGCCAGTACCTTTTGCAGAAAAACATCACCAAACTATGATGCTACCAAATTTCACTATTGGAAGTGTGTTCTTTTGTCGCCATCTTTTCTCTATACATGATTTCTAGAATTACGTTCAAACAACTCAATTTTGGTTTCGTCTATCCCAACATTATTTTATCCTTATCTGTATGTTCACAAATAAATTTCAACCTGGCATCTCTGTGTCTTTTCAATAGCATTGGAGTTTTCTGAGGGGAGCATGACTTTAGATTGTTCCAATGAATTTCATTGTTTATTGTTCGTTTAGTGACACAGATTCCTGATGAAAGCAAATTATCCTTCAACTCTTGACGAGCAACCATTGGATTCTGTTTAATTTGACACATTAGTTTCCTTGAAGATGTTGAAGAATTTTTTTCCGTAGAGCACCTGTTGTTTTTTTTTTGAGTTTTTTGTACTTTGCAGTGAATGAACTAATAGTGTTAAATGGAATATTCAAGTTGTCTGAGATTTTCCTGTAACTTTTACCTTCTTTCTAAAGCTTACCAATCAGTTCTTGTTGCGAAATAGTCAATTCTTTAACACTTGCCATGATGAATACCTTCCTGCATGAATATCCATTATAGAATGTTCTGTTTGTATTTTTTTTGAGCTGACTACTGATAACATTATTGCAACATTCTAGAATATTCCACTTGAATAATCTAGAGTATTAGAGTAATTTAAAAGTTTTAAAATCTGAAATTTGTATTGTACGAATATATTTTCACCCATTAAAATGGATAAATGGGATTTATTTATATGAAATCTATTTTTTTGTATTTTCTCTGCATATTTAGTTATTATACGTCTGTGTACAGTTAATTATATAAAAATCATGTTTATTCATTAGGTGAAAATACAATAAATTAAAATTTGTATACGTATAAATATTCCGCCCCACTGTTTATATATATCTATATCTATATATCTATATCTATATCTATCTATCTATCTATCTATCTATCTATCTATATATATATATATATATATATATATATATATATATATAGAGAGAGAGAGAGAGAGAGAGAGAGAGAGAGGAGGCACGCTGGAGTAATTGATAGCGACTCGAATTGAGGAATCGGGGAGCCAAGTTTGAAGAGCCCAGTCGAATCCATTACATTCACTTAAGTGCTAATAACATTGGGAAAGGTATGAATTCTTTTCTCCCCCCTCCAGCTATAAGTAAATAGCAGGACAGACCGGATTCTATAGCCTTGGATGGCAACTGTTCTACCGCAAAAAGAAATGGCAACCTACAGCGGGAAAAAATATGCCTTATCAGTCATGTATCGAAAGATACATGATCGCCTAATCGTGTATCACGCCACATAACTGACACACACACACACACACACACACACATATATATATATATATATATATATATATATATATATATAGTTTATGCAAACTTAGGTAATCCGTATGGGTAGACCTGAGGAGGATGATATCCAGAGAGCTCAATGTAAAATTCAGAGCAGATATGTTTGAATAAAAAACAGACCACGTTAAGATTCCATGGAATCTTATTACATGGAATCTTAACGTGGTCTGTTTTTTATTCAAACACATATATATATATATATATATATATATATGAATGAAGAAAAATATACAGAAAAAAACAAACAAAAATCTTAATATGCCATTATGCTGTATTAATGTTAATATAAAGTCAACGTCGGACGTCTCGGTCTATTTTAGACCATCTTCAGGACATTTTCATTTAAACATAATTAACATTAGAACATATAAAAATTCAACACGAAAAGACGATGGACATAAGAGCACAACTAATCCAAGCAGAAAGCTGATCTTATATGAAAATTTCAGTTAACTATATATATATAACGCACACACACACACACACACACACACACACACATATACATACATACTTATTTTTGTGTGTGTTTTTAGTGAACACGAAATGCTTGTTCATTAATATTGATTCATGTCTGAACAAAGTATCAGCCTTAGAAAACAGGAGTTATTGTGCGTGAAAAATATTCTTTGACATCAACACCACTTTCTTTAATGATGACTGAGTTGTATAACATCTTGCTTTCCTACGTCGTCGTAGGGTTTCGAATCCCATCGAAGGCGAAAATTATATGGCTGCTTAACTTAACTGGCCAAGCAGAACATTAAAAAAAAAGTCACGGCGCAACAAGTTAAACTAGCAGAGGGTAAGCTTGTAGAGGGTGCAGAGGGTGTTTTAAGAACGTAAGCTTGCAGAGGGTAAGCCTGCAGAGGGTAAGCCTTAAGAAGAACAGAGGGTAAGCTGCAGAGGGTACCCAGAGGGTACGCCTGCAGAGGGTAAGCCTTAAGAACGTAAGCTTGCAGAGGGTAAGCCTGCAGAGGGTAAGCCTTAAGAACGTAAGCTTGCAGAGGGTAAGCCTGCAGAGGGTAAGCAGAGGGTAAGCTCTGTAGAGGGAATAGAAGGTAAGCTTAGAGGATAAGCCTGCAGAGGGGCTTGACCTGCAGAGGGTAAGCTGGTAGAAGGTAAGCCTGTAGAGGGGTAGGCTCTGCAGAGGAAGGTAGGGGCTGCAGAAGGAGGTGCAGATGATAAGCCTGCAGAGGGTAAGTATGTAGATGGTAAGTGTGTAGAGGGTAAGCCTGCAGAGGGTTGCAGAGGGTAAGGAGAGGTGCTGCAGAGGGTAAGCTGCAGAGGGTAAGCTTGTTGAGGTTAAGCTGGCAGAGGGCAAGCCTGCAGAGGGTAAGCCTGCAGAGGGTAAGCGTGTATAGGGTAAGCTTGTAGAGGGTAAGCCTGCAGAGGGTAAGCTTGTTGAGGGTAAGCTTGCAGAGGGCAAGCCTGCAGAGTGTAAGCCTGCAGAGGGTAAGCTTGTAGAGGGTAAGCCTGCAGAGGGTAAGCTTGCAGATGGTAAGCCTGTAGAGGGTAAGCCTGCAGAGGGTAAGCTCGCAGAGGGTAAGCTTGGTGGAGGGGTAAGCCTGCAGAGGGTAAGCTTGCAGAATGTAAGCTTGCAGAGGATAAGCCTGCAGAGGGTAAGCTTGTTGAGGGTAGCTGCAGAGGGGCAAGCCTGTTGAGGGTAAGCCTGCAGAGGGTAAGCCTGCAGAGGGGTAAACCTGCAGAGGGTAAAATTGCAGAGGGTAAGCCCAGAGGGTAAGCCAGAAGAGGGTAAGCTTGCAGAGGTAAGCCTGCAGAGGGTAACCTTGGAGGGGTAAGCTTGCAGAGGGCAAGCCTGATGAGGATAAGTGCAGTAGAGGGTAAGCTAGAGGGTAAGCCTGCAGAGAGGTAAGATTGCAGAGGGCAGAGGGGCAAGCCTGCAGAGGGGTGCAGAGGGTAAGTAGATGGTAAGCTTGTAGAGAGTAAGCGTGCAGAGGGTAAGCCAGAAGAGGGTAAGCTTGCTTAGAGGGTAAGCTTTGTTGAGGATAAGCTTGCAGAGGGTAAGCTTGTTGAGAGGGTAAGCTTGCAGAGGGCAAGTGTAGAGGAGTGTAGAGGGTGCAGAGGGTAAGCTTGCAGAGGGTAAGCCTGCAGAGGGTAAGTTGCAGAGGGTGCCTGCAGAGGGAGTTTGTTGAGGGTAAGCTTGCAGAGGCAAGCCTGATGAGGGTAAGCCTGCAGAGGGTAACCTTGCAGAGGGTAAGTGCAGAGGGGTTTGTAGAGGGTAAGCCTGCAGAGGGTAAGCTTGCAGAAGGTAAGCCTGCAGAGGGTAACCTTGCAGAAGGTAAGCTTGCAGAGGATAAGCATGCAGAGGGTAAGCCTGCAGAGGATAAGCTTGCAGAGGGTAAGCCTGAAGAGGGTAAGCTTGCAGATGGTAAGCCTGCAGAGGGTAAGCTTGTTGCGGGTAAGCTTGCAGAGGGCAAGCCTGCAGAGGGTAAGACTGCAGAGGGTAAACATGCAGAGGGTAAGCGTGTAGAGGGTGAGCTTGTCGAGGGTAAGCCTGCAGAGGATAAGCTTGCAGAGGGTAAGCCTGTAGACGGTAAGCCTGCAGAGGGTAAGCCTGTGGAGGGCTTGCAGAGAGGTTTGAAGAGGGTAAGCTTGGGGGTAAGCCTGCAGAGGGTAAGCTTTTTTGCAGAGGGCAAGCCTGCAGAGGGTAAGCTTGTAGAGGTGAAGTAAGCAGAGGGTAGGCTTGTAGAGGGTAAGCTTGCAGAAGGTAAGTTTGCAGAGGGTAGGCTTGCAGAGGGGTAGAGGGTATGTTTGTAGAGAGTAAGCCTGCAGAGGGTAAGCTTGTAGAGGGTAAGCTTGCAGAGGGTAAGCCTGACGAGGGTAAGCTTGCCGAGGGTAAGCTTGCAGAGGGTAAAACTGCAGAGGGTAATCCTGCAGAGGGTATGCTTGTAGAGGGTAAGACTGCAGATGGTAAGCCTGCAGAGGGTAAGCTTGCAGATGGTAAGCTTGTAGAGGGTAAGCCTGCAGAGGGTAAGCTTGTTGATGGTAAGCTTTCAGAGGGTAAGCCTGACGAGGGTAAGCTTGCAGAGGGTAAGCTTGCACAGGGTAAAACTGCAGAGGGTGTTTGAAGAGGGGATTGCAGAGGGTAAGCTTGCAGAGGGTAAGCTTGTAGAGGGTAAGACTGCAGAGGGTAAGCCTGCAGAGGGTAAGCTTGCAGAGGATAAGCTTGTAGAGGGTAAGATTGTAGGTAAGCTTGCAGAGGGTGTTTTAAGAACGTAAGCAGTAGAGAGGGTAAGCCTGCAGAGGGAAGCTTGCAGAGGGTAAGTTTTAGGCTTGCAGAGGGTAAGCCTGCAGAGGCAAGCTTTGCAGAGGGATGCAGAGGGTAAGCCTGCAGAGGGTAAGCCTGTAGAGGGGTAAGTTTGCAGAAGGTAAGCTTGTAGAGGATAAGCCTGCAGAGGGTAAGCAGAGGGTAAGCCTGCAGAGAGGTAAGCTTTAGAAGGTGTAGAGGGTAGGCTTGCAGAGGTAAGCGGGCAGAGGGTAAGCAGAGGGTAAGGTTGTAGATGATAAGCCAGAGGGTAAGCATGTAGATGGTAAGCAGCCTGCAGAGGGTGTTTCCTGCAGAGGGTAAGCTTGAGAGGAGCCTGCAGAGGGGTAAGCTTGCAGAGGGCAAGTTTGTTGAGGTTAAGCTGGCAGAGGGCAAGCCTGCAGAGGGTAAGCCTGCAGAGGGTAAGCGTGTATAGGTGTTTGTAGGGTAAGCCTGTAGAGGGTAAGCAGAGGGTAAGCTTGTTGAGGGAGGGCAAGGGCAAGCCGCAGAGGTAAGCCTGCAGAGGGTGTTTTGTAGGAGGGGTAAGCCTGGGCAGAGGGTAAGCTTGCAGAAGGTAAGCCTGTAGAGGGTAAGCCTGCAGAGGGTAAGCTCGCAGAGGGTAAGCTTGCGGAGGGTAAGCCTGCAGAGGGTAAGCTTGCAGAATGTAAGCTTGCAGAGGATAAGCCTGCAGAGGGTAAGCTTGTTGAGGGTAAGCTTGCAGAGGGCAAGCCTGCCGAGGGTAAGCCTGCAGAGGGTAAGCCTGCAGAGGGTAAACCTGCAGAGGGTAAATTGCAGAGGGTAAGCCTGCAGAGGGTAAGCCAGAAGAGGGTAAGCTTGCAGAGGGTAAGCCTGCAGAGGGTAACCTTGTTGAGGGTAAGCTTGCAGAGGGCAAGCCTGATGAGGATAAGCCTGCAGAGGGTAAGCTTGCAGAGGGTAAGCGTGTAGAGGGTAAGCTTGTAGAGGGTAAGCCTGCAGAGGGTAAGATTGCAGAGGGTAACCTTGTTGAGGGTAAGCTTGCATGGAAAGGAGAGGGTAAGCCTGCAGAGGGTAAGTGCAGAGGGGTGTAGATGCTTGCTTGTAGAGAGTAAGCCTGCAGAGGGTAAGCTTGCAGAGGGTAAGCCAGAAGAGGGTAAGCTTGCAGAGGGTAAGCCTGCAGAGGGTAAGCTTGTTGAGGGTAAGCTTGCAGAGGGCAAGCCTGATGAGGGTAAGCCTGCAGAGGGTAAGCTTGCAGAGGGTAAGCGTGTAGAGGGTAAGCTTGTAGAGGGGTTGCAGAGGTAAGCTTGCAAGAAGAAGAGGGGCTTGCAGAGGGTAAGCCTGCAGAGGGTAAGCTTGTTGAGGGTAAGCTTGCAGAGGGCAAGCCTGCAGAGGGTAAGCCTGCAGAGGGTAAGCTTGCAGAGGGTAAGCGTGCAGAGGGTAAGCTTGTAGAGGGTAAGCCTGCAGAGGGTAAGCTTGCAGAAGGTAAGCCTGCAGAGGGTAACTTGCAGAAGGGCAGAGGATTGCAGAGGGTAAGGCAGAGGATAAGCTTGCAGAGGGTGCCTGAAGAGGGTAAGCTTGCAGATGGTAAGCCTGCAGAGGGTAAGCTTGTAGAGGGTAAGCTTGCAGAGGGCAAGAGGTAAGACTGCAGAGGGTAAAACATGCAGAGGGTAAGTGTGAGGTGTTTTGTCGAGGGTAAGCCTGCAGAGGGCTTGCAGAGGGTAAAGACGGTAAGGGCAGAGGGGGTAGAGGATAAGCCTGCAGAGGGTAAGTTTGTAGAGAGTAAGCCTGAAGAGGGACTTGCAGATGGTAAGCCTAAGAGGGCAAGCCTGCAGAGGGGTTTGCTGGAGATGGTAGAGGGTAGGCTTGTAGAGGGTAAGCCTGCAGAGGGTAAGCTTGTTGAGGTAAGCTTGCAGAGGGTATGTTTGAGGGTAAGCTGCAGAGGACAGAGGGTAAGCTTGCAGAGGGTAAGCCTGAGAGGGTAAGCTTGCTGAGGGGTAAGAGAGGGTAAACTGCAAAATCCTGCAGAGGGTATGCCTGCAGATGGAAGAGGGTAAGTTTGCAGAGGGTAAGCTTGCAGAGGGTAAGCCTGCAGAGGGTAAGCTTGTTGATGGTAAGAGGGTAAGACTGCAGAGGGTAAGTTTGCAGAGGGTAAGCAGGGTAAAACTGCAGAGGGTAAGTTTGAAGAGGGTAAGATTGCAGAGGGTAAGCTTGCAGAGGGTAAGCTTGTAGAGGGTAAGCTTGTAGAGGGTAAGATTGCAGAGGGTAAGCTTGCAGAGGATAAGCTTGTATAGGGTAAGCCTGCAGAGGGTAAGCCTGCAGCGGGTAAGCTTGTAGAGGGTAAGATTTCAGAGGGTAAGCTTGCAGAGGGTAAGCTTGTAGAGTGTAAGCCTGCAGAGGGTAAGCCTGCAGAGGGTAAGCGTGTAGCGGGTAAGCTTGTAGAGTGTAAGCCTGCAGAGGGTAAGCTTGCAGAGGGTAAGCTTGTAGAGGGTAAGCTTGTAGAGGGTAAGCTTGTAGAGGGTAAGCCTGCAAATAAAATATTGCCACTAGCAAATAATGGATTCAAGACACAAGTGCCGACCTTTTAAGAGAATCTAATCAGGTTTTGCAGGTAGTTTTATGGAACAAATATCACCGCGTTCAAGTCCTGGCCACATCACTTGTGTTCACTTCCACCCAAATACCGTTGGGGTATTCGTCTCTCCATCGTCCAGTATATGACTTATGTTAAGTAACTGGGTAAACATGACACTCTGGCCTTAATTGGCAACTATTCTATGGGAAGAAAAGAAGGCAATGGGAATTCACTGCACCATCTTTTCCAATAATTCATGAAAATTTGCCGATAATAATATGAAAAGAAAATGAATGTGTGGCGAGCCATGATCGCCTATGCCCTGAAGGGATATAGCATTGTAAAATCAGTATCAACAATTACTGATTTTTAAAATTTTGTAGAAAATTTTATAGTTCATATCTTCCTGGAAATCAGCGTGTCTGTGTTGAAACGGAATTAAATTATCTGACCTTTAGTTATGACTGAAAATTCGAGATCCGGAGCTATACTTCTAACATCTAAAATTGACACTATTAATAAGTTTCTGGTTCCTTCTAAAGTCTTTTCTTTCTCTTTCCCTTCCAGTAGCCTCTTGCATCTTAGTGGCATTATCGCCTTGCTTGGAGGGAATTAATTAAACAAAATACGTTCATCAACATTTTCCTTTTACTCTAAATCTCTCAACAAAGGCCAGTGTTTTTCTGTTGTAAATATTTTATTAAAATATTGATTGCAATGACAAAATGCCCAAAAAATCGCATTCATGAAATAGAATTCGATGAAGAAATATCGATTTATTTATTTTTATCATATGTTTTCCTTTTGAAGCAGAAATATAATGAAGTAGCTAGTGAGGATGGAACTCACGTGTGATCTCCTTCAAGAGGACACTATTACATTAGATTCAAACAAAAGCTGTCATTATTCGACACGGATGGTTCTCTAAACACAACAAAACTACAGATTCATAGAAAAAGCCAACAGATATAAAGGCAGGCTTTGTACGAAATGATTTCAGTTGAAGAAAAATATTAAGAAAATGGTTTAAACTTGTGCCGAATAAAATGATGTTTCATGTTTTATGCTGGCGATTAGGTTTTTTTTTTTTTTTTTTTTTTTTTGACAAACAGCATACTTTTTACCGAATGCACAAAATAGTTACACAGTAATTTACTATTTACACTATTTACATTGTTTGGACTGTTGTCCTAATCTTTCTTGTCAAATTCCCGACGTTTCGATCCGATGTACGCTCCAAATTTCGTCAGGTCTTATACGCCGGAATTTCGAACCAGACGTTTTATTCTAGTTGCACTTTTCCACTTATAAACCTAATGTCTCAATATCGTTTTTTTCTTTTGCCAGTATCACAATTTGTTGTTGTTGTTTTTCACTAGCACTATGAATTTCTAGTCCCATATTGTATTCATGTCCATGTTTGGCCGGCTTATACGCTTATTCCTTATTCTTCAGTGATGTTCTCTGTCTAATATTTCATCATCCCAGTGTATATATCACCTGAAGAATACCGGGGTGTAAAACGACCGAAATGTCATGAATATGACAACAAAGATGAGGACAACAATCAATACTCCATCTCAAAAATAGAGACAGATAAGTTTACTAAAACAATTTTCTTATTCGACATTTAAGAAGTTTCAAGTAAAATATCATTTTGCTTGAAACCTTACTTGAAACGCTGACCCTACTGTTATTTCTTTCAACCAAGAATATATCGTCCGTACAAAACGGTTTTGACGGTTAAATTGAAAAGCTTTACCATCGGCACTAGAAAAGCTGGGGGAGACAAAAGCAGAGTGAGCCAACGGCAATTGACTCGACATTGACTTATTCAGCGTAAGTTTTGAGGAAGGATCCATGGAATATTTCTTCCGCTTAATTTGATGCTGCTTGTTGGAGATACCTTGAAACTGCGTTGCATGATGGGAAACTCACTTCAGATTCTGCGCATTTAAGTGGCTTGTTATGAACTAGCCAATGGGGAAGCTACTGGCTAAATTCAGTTTTATCTCCTCCAACTTCCTCTTACACTGCTCTCTCTATATTCCTCATCCTCTAGTATCTCTATGTTCCTCTTCCTCTGCACTCTCTATCTTTCTCTTCCTCTAGTCTCTCTCTCTCTCTCTATTCCTCTGCTATCTCTCTCTCTCTCGATTCATCTTCCTCTTGCACTGCAGTCTGTGTCCTCCTCTTCCACTGCACTCTCTATCCTCCTCTTCCTCTGTATTGTCTCTCTCTTCCTCTTCTTCTACTCTCTCTCTATCCTCTGCTCTCTCCATCTTCCACTTCATCTCTCCACTCTCTATCTTCCTCTTTCTCTTGAACTATCCATCTTCTTCTTTCCCTGCTGTCTCCATCTTCTTCCTCTGCTCTCCACCTTCTTTTTCCTCTGCCCACTCCCTTCTTCTTCCTCTACTGTCCCCCTTTTGTCTTCCTGTATACTCTCTTTTCCTTTTCACCTACTCTCTCTTTTGTTGCTCTCTCCATCTTCCTCTTCCTATGCTCTCTTCATTTTCCTCTCCCGCTTTCTATCATCATCTTCCTCTACATCTTCCTCTGCTCTCTCTTTTCCTCTTCTGTCTGTCTCCCTCTTCTTCTGTTTGTCTATTCTTCCTCCACACTCTCACTCTTCCTCTTCTACTCTCCATCTTCCTCTTCATCTGCTCTCTAGATTCCTCTTCCTCTGCTCTCTCTTCCTCTGCTCTCTCAATCTTTTTACTCTCCATCTTCCTCTTCCTCAGCTTAATCCATTCCTCTTCTCTCTTTTTTTCTTCCTCTGAACTCTCTACTCCCTTTCGTTTGCTCTCTCCATCTTCCTCTTCTTCGGCTATTTCTTCCTGCTCTTCTCTCTGTGTCTTTCTCTTCCTTTGCTCTCTCCGTCTTCCTCTTCCACTACTCTCTCTACCTATTCGTTTGCCCATCCTTTTCCTCCTTTTTGCCCTCTCTATCTTCCTCTTTCTCTGCACTCTCTAACAGTCACACACTATTGTTATAACGTCTCAAAATTTGACTAAATGGGCTTCTTCTTTGTCACTAATTTATATATCACCAAACGGACGCAGACTCTGAGTAATACCCTGTATAACGCCTTAATAAACCATAGTATCAGCAGTAGCTACGGAGGTATAAAAACAACGCGAATTTTTAAATTAACTCTCTTCCGGGTTTTTCACCATTTGAAGTGTGTGTAGGCTGTAGACGCTTCACACAGGCTTACACAGGTAAGTCTTCTACAAATATATTCATTAACATTTCTTTGTGTATTTACTTTTAACAAATTAAACTCTTAAATTTTCCTTTTGGTAATTTTGTTTAATAACTGTTATCTTGCATTGCAAATCAATCGTTCCCTTTGATGTTGTGCATCGACCTTTTCACCACCATTAATTTATGTATTGTAAAATATTCTCTCAAGAAACCTTACACATTTATTTTTGAAGTAGCCAACACACCAAAGTACCATCCAGGTGTTCTTTCCCTCTACAAATTCATTAGCCTCCCATTCCATATAAAGAATTCATATTTATCGTTAAATTTTAATAGGCTAGAATAGTAGAACACCAATTTAGGAATTACTCTTTATAATTTACGCTAACTAACTAATAAGCACATTGCAGAGGAAATGAACCGATACGGTTGACAAATGAGCGAATGGTTTCTGTTCACTGTCTTTTCTTGCATGCAAGAAAACGTGTATCCTTCCTTCCAGATTGAACATATAAACTTAGTTCGATAGTCCGATAAAAATGGTATAGTTAAATTTTCTCCAGAAGTTACAGAATGAAAAAAAAAAAATGGAGGAGGAAAGATGAAAATAAAAGAAATTTTTTTTATATCATTTTTTGTAGTCGGAATGAAAAAAAAAATAATTTTTCAATCTTTGCTTTTCTGGATTTTAAAAACAACTGAAAAATAAAAGATAACGCTTCATTTTTGTTTCCATTACAAAACATTGGCCGATAAATTCTTCGGCCTTTCTCCTATTTTTGAGGACAAGTATTTTCCTCAATGTCCTGCAGATGTATACGGCACACCTAGTTTTTCTTCTTCAGTCGTTTTATAGGAAGAAATATGTACGTTTTAATATTTTCAAGAGGAACATAATAGTTTTATAACCAGTCTTGAAATTCTCTTCACATTGGAAAATATTGTGGTGAGACTGGGTATTGAATGTCATGCATGGCACCAAACCTGTTTAGAAACATTTAAATTGTTAGCTATAGACAACGGCACACTAAGATCAATGGTGAAAAAATGATTTAAGCGCGTAAAGCTTGAGGATGTTGGCAAAGATCAGCCTGTAGACTGGCGCTACAGAATCACAAGCAAAGAACTGAGTTATCTTTTCTTTAAATCGGAAGGGTTATCGAAGTTAAGCCTGAAAGTATCCATGTGAAAACACACGGGATTTGATACTCAGATTTTCGCAGTTTATAAATCTTTTTTACTCTCTCACTCTCTTTTTCTCTCTCTCTGTCTTTGTGGGGAGATAGAATTAAAAATGTTTTAACGTGTATTTCATGAAGATTGCTCAACCAAAAATTTTGCGGAAAACAAAAATTAATTTACTTGGTTGAATTATGTCTGACTAGTAAAAACGATTAATGTGATAAATTCAGACATTTGAATAGTTGCTGTAGAACCCGCGCCAAAAACCAAAAATTGATCTCAAAAATCGAATTATTTTTTCTATACATAAAACGAAAGGCCTTCTTTCTCAACAGTGTTTGTAGTAAACACTTGGTTCTACTCTGGTAAAAGCTGATTGGTGGAAAGTAAAAGAAACGCGTCAAATGTGGGTCTTAAAGGTCAGAGAAAGACGATTCTTAGATTAGAATCAGACTTCTCTGGGGATCAATTTACGATTCCAGTCAGACATAGCAACTACATAATTGTGCTGTAGACGAAAAACCATTTCTGAAGCTGTGTCAAAAATAGTGAGTCGCCCAGAATTGTCTGGCGATTGGTGTACATGTTTACTGGCTCTCAGCATTCTAAAACTAAGAGAGCTGAACTCTATCAAAGGCGTAAATATTCTGTAGAGAGTTCGCAAAGTTCAGCGTTTATTTCTTTAAGAATTTCTCTTACTTACTTGCACTCTGCTATACAGATAAACATAGACACACACACACACGTATACATATATATATAAGTACTTTCGATCATCGTTGATCGTTTTCAGCGAAATATGGTAGAGATTTGAGAGATAGCCAGTCAAGATTTGAGAGATGACCGAGTGAAGCGTTTTTGTTAAAGGTCCAAACATTCGGACGGTTAACAACAGTCCAGAGTTTCTCATTTACCTTTTTAAAATTCTTTCTTTTATTTAATCATTAAGAGAAAATGACTTTCTTTCATTCTTTCTTTCTTTCTTTTTTTATCTATAAGTCCTGGATATGACGATAAACTACATCCGGCAGCAAGGCCTCTGATTGGGAGATTGGAGGTTTTCAGGAGCATGGAATCAGCACTTAATTGATGTTGTTCCCGGGGGTCGGGGTTAGCATCTGTTAGGGTCCCAACGATGGGCAAATAGTAAACTCTTAAACAAAAACAAAAGAAAGTATTAAAATACATTTTGTAGCAAAAATATCAACAGTACATTTTTCTATAAAGTTACCAACAATACCTATCTATAGTAAAACTACCAACGATACACTTTAAAGTAAAATTATCAGTAATACATTTTAAAGTAAAATGACCACCAATAATTTTATCTGTAAGTGAAGTCATCAAATTACATGCAAAATATTTAGATTCCGACATTAATTAACCCATAGATATTGATATACCGCTCAACAATATCAACTCAATTTTTATCTATCTATCTATCTATCTATCTATCTACATATATATATATATATATATATATATATATATATATATATATATATATATATATTACTATTTTCCCCTCAATACAACACCCAAGAGCTATTCAAGGTAGAGATTTAATAAATGAGGTTGTAAAGGCGTATAAGGAAGGGGGCAAAGATTCATATTATGAGGATATGTAGGATATCGGTTGAACCTTGAAAAAATTAAGATTGTAGTTATGGCATAATTGTTATGGGGAAGAAGCTGTCTAAGTGGAATTCCCTCCTCACCAAAAGTATATGAAAGGAATGAGAAGTCGACTCAGTGCACGTGGCCTAGCCTGGCCAATCCTAGCTGTTAAGATCTGAACGGGTAAAGCTAAGGGTCGTAGTTATCCCGAACACCAGCCATGAAAACGGCGATAGAGTAGTGAGAGGCTAGTAATGTTTTGTCTGTGTGAAAGAGGTTGTAGGGTGGAAAACTATTCATCACCCACAAGGCTGTACAAAAGCTTTTGAGCTCTGTCGAGACTGGAAAGTCAGAATTGGGAGGTTCAGCCCAGATGTGGTAGCAATACTCCAATTTTGGACTGATCTGGTTATTGTAAAGATAGAGCATAGTAAGAGGAATCAGGTACTTTCTGGTGTGGTACAAGGAACCGATCATTCTTCTAGCGTCTTTACGATGGATCACATATACGAATTCTACTCGAGGTCTGGTGTGAATTTGGTTCCCAATAGACGTTCGAGTCAAGCATCCTCATTGACTGGAAAAAATTCGGGGTCTGCTCTGAGATGATTACTTTACTAGCTTGGTTTTGGGGTTATCGAATGTTACAAGCCAGTTTCTCCACCCCCCACCCTTGAGCTGTGAGAGCAAGGTCAGAACAGAGATCAGTTGTCAGGTTCTGGTCATAGATTTTTAGAGGTGTACCAATAAACTATGGTATCATCTATATAGAATAGTTATCTGAGAATGAATTCAAATAGATCATTAATATCTCGCAGAAAAAAAAGGGTAGAAACAAAGAGAGAACTTCTGGGGGCGGCTGCATTGATGCCATTGACTTCTAACGATTAGTCATTAACAACGGCCTCCATGGTAACAGTAATGGTTATATTAGCCGTTTCCTTAAAGGAAATATTTGGCATTCATTGATGGAGCTGGCAGTACTGGTTTCGATTGAAATTTATAAAATCTTTCTCCTAAAACACGTTTTTTAGAAAAATAGATTTCTCAAGTCTCGTAGCTTTTATTGCTCTATTAAGTATTGATGGGGTTTCCTTCTTAACCTTTTATTTGAAGTAGTGTGGAATGTCAACATTTTGATTATAGCATTATTTTCTCTTCAAGTTACATGTGATATCCATTTTTTTAGTTGTTTTTGTTCTCGGTCGTCATCAAGTGATGTGGTTTCTGCTTTTTGGTACATATCCTTGTTTGCGATTCTGTTATGCCAGTACATGATGTTTAAAGAAGGATTGATCGTTGCCAAGGCCCTCAGGCTATACGCGCTCAAAGACTTTTTCACAATTGATCTTAGAAAGCGGTTGTATACAGTATATTTCTGAACGGAGTTGGCGCCAATATTCAACAAGAAAGACTTGATAATCGAGAAGACTCTCCTACAAATGCAAGAGCTGGTGAGTTTGTATAGCAGCTCACTATGACAGACCTTGTTAAAAGCCTTCCAACGTAACCGCTCTCGTGGGTGGGGGGATAATCAATGTGTAATGATAGTTACATCAGCAGTGGATATAGAGAAACGAAATACATACTGTTTGTCACTTAGGAGTTTGTTCATGCTGTGATGGTTGTAAACAATCTTGTTGATCATAGCTTCTAAAGGTTTGCTGATAATATTGAGGACGATGATGGGGCACCCTCATACTGTTGACAGGTTCCGTAGACCCGGGAAACATTTCTCCTTCGAGAAGCGGTTAAACAATTTTACCAAGAGTGGGGATAGCTCTGGGCTAAGGACAACTACAGGAATTTTATCCGGAACAGTAACTTTCGTAGGGTCATTTTTTTTTATAAGTTTGAAAACTGAGGAAGAAATATCACAAAGTTAGTGTTCCGTGAGAGGGGATATTTCATCTATCTATCTATCTATCTATCTATCTATCTAAGTTAAGGGGTGTTTGATGCCCGTCGATAGAAATTGGAAAGTTCAAAATCTAAAGGTGAAAATTTTATTTTCGTAATAAAATTTTCTTATAAGAAGAAAATCTTATTATTTTAAAGACAAAATCTTTAACATACGAAATATTACTTCAGGTGCTATGAGAGCCATTGATAAATAAATAAAGAGAAATGACAACAAAGCTTCAGCAGCAGCAATAACGGTAATAAAAGAGAAACCCTGGTGAGAAACTTAACAAGTAGAAGTGGTGTCAGGAGCAGATTATATTTAAAGCTTGAAGTTATAGCCACGTGGATCAAAGCGTTGATCCTTGAATTTGGTGAGCTCAGTTAGATGATATAAACTTAGATTCAGTGGAAACAGAGTGGGCAATAATCGAGAAATACTAAATACGAGATATTCCTAAACATAAACAGCGAGAGCAACCTACCTTCGCAGTGTTTGTGTGTGTGCCTATGTGTGTTTCTATGTGCGTGTGAATGCCACCTCGGAGCATTCATCAGGACGTGGTCCTTACATTCTCACTTGTGATGTCTCAATCACAGTTTCGCTTACCACTTGGGTGGTTGTTTATATATCTACTTATGTAATGCGGCTGTTCCGGTCATGTAGTTCTACACTATTGGTCTGGGAAATTACTTTACATCAGCCCTGTGCCTGACACTTGATGTTCCGGTGTAATAGCGACTGTGAAGTGCAGTCTGGCATGAGACACACACACTACGTATCCATTTCAAAGCACTCAGTCAACTGTTTACCTATTAATCATATACACCGAATATATATATATATATATATATATATATATATATACTGCGAAAATATCAGATCAATATATCAAGTAACTTGTATCAGGCTACTAACTTATTGATCTACTCTCATAGTAAGCTACATATCCAATGTCTCTATCAAATGATAGACATATATTTCGGAAATATATAGCCTTCTTTACATAAGCACGTTAGAATTAAAAGAAAATTAGACATAAAATCACTCAAGGGAGCAAATAGTGATTTTTCATTGAAAAACGGAATCGCATAGCATTTTTCTATGTCAGTCTCTACATATCTGAAAAAGTATGCGCGGAATATATGAACGTTTATATGTATACATTGTTCACCTTACTGCATCTATATGTTTTTTGAAAACTCACTAGTAACGAAGTGGTTAATGAAACACCTTTTAGACTCAGTATTAATCCTTTTAAAAGAAAACCTTATAGTGAGTTCATGAACCTCTTTCAAAAAATCAATAATCTGAACCATTATGTTCTAACTTCTCACCAACCCATGATAAATGCACCCACGCACATAGATAGACATATATGTAAATCCGAGTCTTGAGTTCTTATATACATATTAAGAAATTCCTCTTAAGCATATATGAAACTGGATAAAATAAAAATGTACATTTCAATCACCGCCCCAACCCTGTTAATTTTATAATAGCCTTGCTTTTCTTCTCTTCCAACTTCTTGTTCTTGTTGTTGTTCTTGTTGTTGTTGTTGTTCTTCTTCTTCTTCACAACCTCCTCTTCCCTTTCTATTACACCCAATGCCGTGCGTTTGTTTATATATTATAAAAAATAAAATAATTTAGCGTTCCTTAGTTGTTGTTTTTAAAATAAAGATTTAACTAATCATTTCATGAAAATCGCCCGAGGATACGTTTGAAAACCAATGTAGCGGATTCAATATATCTCCGAAGTTTTAAAGTATATATCCTCTCTCTCTCTCTCTCTCTCTCTCTCTCTCTCTCTCTCTCTCTCTCTCTATATATATATATATATATATTAAACAGCGTATGAACAACAATTCAAGGAAAAGAAAAAAATATCGTTTGGTTTACCCCTCCGCCCCGATTTTAAATTAAAGGTAAAGTGTAAAATAGGGAAATTATTTTTCAAGTTATTTACTAAACACTTCAAAAATTCAAAATTGTATTAGATATTCAATAAAAACACAGTTAAATTAAACTACAGCTGCAATAGTAATTTAGAAACAATAATAAATAGACAAAATACTAGAAATCTCAAAACTAATGTGCAGCAAAATATAGTTAATACTAGTAATTTATGCAACTGTAGAAATAAGAATAGATGTCCATTAGATTGTGCTTGTAAAACAGAAGCAAAAATCTATAAATCAGAAGTAACAGATATTAATGGCCAGAATAAAACATACAAAGGATGTACTGAAGGTACTTTCAAACGTAGATGATACAATCATAGGTCGTCATTTAAGCTAGTAAGTCTTAGATGTTCTACCAAACTGGCTAACCATGTGTAGTATTTAAAAGAAAAAAACAACAGGTATCCGATTTTGAGATGAAATTTTTTTAAAAAGGTGATTCACAACCACAATAATATTTGCAACCTTTGCCAAAAGGAAAAATTAGCAATAATGACATTTCCGGATCAAAAGAATCTTTTAAACCCGAAATCCGAAGTCTTAAGTCCTTGCTTACATATTAGAAAATTCCTCTTAAGTACATATGAGGCTGGATAAATAAATAAAGAAAGTAATGTACATTTCAATTGCCCCCCTCCAGCGATACATTAACAATACCCTTGCTTTTCTCCTCCGCCTCTTTCTTCTTCTTCTTCTTCTTCTTCTTCTTCTTCTTCTTCTTCTTCTTCTTCTTCTTCTTCTTCACATCCTCCTCCTCCCTTTCTATTACGCCCAACGTCAGGCGTTTGCTTATTTATTTTTGAAAATAATAATATAGCGTTCATGAGTTCTTTAAAAAAAATAATGCGTTGGGAGGTCATTTCAGAAAAATCGCCAGAGGATACTGTAAGATTGAAACCAAGGTAGCGGATTCAACTGACTTCTGAATCATAATATATATATATATATATATATATATATATATATATATATATATATATAATGCATGCGCCCATATCTGTATATATGTATATAATGCATACGCCCATTATCTATCTATCTATCTATCTATCTATCTATATACGACCGCTGAAGAAGCAGACCGGAGCGGGAAAAAAGCCTTGTAGCAGCATATGTCTTATATTCGTTATTCCTACAATCCTAACATATTGCGACACCACCTTACTGAATAAGCTAGGTAAGGTAATCAGCAAATATTTTATACTATCTCAGATTTTCGGGACTGCTCCACAATCTTATACTCGTTGAATTTTCACTTTAATAAATGACTATTGCTCCTCATTGGAGATCAAGTGACCGTAAGTCTTCATAAAATGCAAGACTCACCTCAGTATTCAAGCTGATTCAGTAGTGTAGTAAATTGAATAATATCGATTGTTACCTGAATTTCCAAGTTTTTCTGTCTGTTTTGCCTTTCAGGATTGTTGCTAGAGCTCAGTTTAAGACAGTCACTAATGTAATTTTCATGTTCCTGATTTTTTCAGTTCTCCAAAAATACATCTGTAGAATTGTGATTTTATCTATTTTTATTTTGTGGCCTGTCGGAACATCGAAGTCAGTTATTCGATACATTTATTTTTTCTTTCTTATAACAACGAAGTCCGAACTTATGTCCTCGGTTAGTTGATACGTTTGAACCACAAAACTCAAGAGGTTTTTATGTTCTTCATTCTTGATGAAATATTCTGGTATGTCTCTATACGATTAGTCTGTCAAGTCAAAACACAGTTGCTTGCATTGTTCCCATTGAATGAATCTGGCCTGTCACTCGTGTTTCTTCTTGTAATCTTTCTGAGTTAATTTCCTTCATTTGCTAACCAAATTGTTGATAGTCTCATCGTTATTTCCATATATACTTAACTTGTTCTCCTGAAGCATTGTTAGAATTAGTTTTATGCGTATTCCTATCCAAACTGCATATATCCAGTTCTTGTTTCTAGGGATTGAGTGAGAGTAAATCACCTCAGGTGAGTCGTAGGTTTCTCTGCATCCGATTGTGTTTTGAACAGTGTTAAAGATTCTGCATATTTGAACTCTTAACCTTATTCCGGGTAGTTTTAACTTTTAGGCCAGAAAATCTTCCCCAGTAAAAGTCAGTTATATATTAGAGCGCTTCCATTCCCACCGCACCGTCGTATTTTATATTTTTATTTAAACTATTCATTTTAGATGTAATAGACATTGGATTTATTAGACGAATCATTGTGAGATATTACCGTTTCTAGCTTCCATTTTATATTTTCTGCTTCTCATTTGCAAGTCTCATTCTTTACAGCTGCGACACGCCATACGACAATTACGAATTGGAATCATCCTTATTTCCTCCATTGTTCCAAATATAAGACAATTGTTTCGTTTAGATAGCTTCTCTCCCCAAGAATTGCGATTTTACGAAATAGATTTCCCCGTGACCCCCCTTCCATGAGCTTTTCAGTCTTGGCCTCTTCAAGAATCAATTGTCAATCGTTATCTTTCCTCCTTTTCTTCCATTTATATCACACACCTCATTCTACGTTGCCATTTTAACTGGAACCGTCTGCCTTGAGTGGCGCTCGAGTAAGAAACTGTAGTAAAATGTAAGAATGACAAATGCTCCACATTTACTTTTCGAAACTGTTCCAAAGTATTTCAGACTTATAGTCATTCGGTGCTTACGGCTGTATAATGTTGGAACACTGGATCTCGTACAGTCACCGAAATTAAGCAACTTAAACCTGGTCAGTACCTAGATCGGTGACAGCTTCGAAATACCAGGCGCTATACTTGGATGTGTGCAGGGTGTAATGGATAACAGCTCGGAATTGGAAATTAGAATTCGGGTTCGTTGCGCGAAAATACCATTGGGAAAAGTATGAATACACCACTTCTCCCTCATCTATGGGTTAATTAGTAGAACTTGTATAAATAAAAATCATTATTCGCCCCCCAAAAGTTTTACAATCTAAAAGTATTTTCTAGCTTTAAATAATCCGCAAAAGGTTGATAATCAGTAAAAAAAAATCAATGAATCAATCATATAGCGATTCGTATGAAAACGTGAAAGATTAAATAAAGATATTAAAAAGGTTCTTTTTATTTACCCTTAACCACACTAGTATACTTAAATATATACATGTAGATATTATCTAAGTTAATGGTCACATGATGAATATCAAACTCTATGAAGGAGTTGTTTATGTCAAAAAGATGTTTTATTAATGTGTGTAGTGTAACGACTATCGTCACGAAAAGCGTAATAGGCGAAAAGAGATCAAATTTGGTTAGATTCTTTTTCGATCACTCAATGCCTTTGGGGGAGGCATGAAACCATTTTCCTCTTACTTAAATAAAATAAATAGCAAGGTAGAAAAATGATAGCGAATCTAGAAGGAAAACATTGAATTCAAAACACAGCGAGCACTTCATATTTGGAATAGATGCCCTATTTTATCTATTAAAGTGTGTATTATATCTATCGTACTGTGCATTCGAGAAACAGGGGGCCTCTATTTCAAATGTAAAGTGTTCACTGTAATAACATTTGAAGTAATAAAAATGTCCGATTAAAAAGGAATCCATTAATTCTTTAGAAACTGCTTTGTTTACGTCTCGGATGCGAAACTGAGAAGATATGAAGATTTTGAGAATCTAACTGAAGAGGATGTACTTTCCATAAAAAAAAGAATATAGAACTGCGATGTTCTTAGCAGATTTGATCAAGCAATGATTTTTGCTCCAAAAGGAGATGTACGTTCGATCCCGATCGGGATATGCGTTTTTGTATTAAGACTTTTCGAATGTGCAAAGAGACAAAATGACAAAAAAAAAGATGAGATGAGATGAGATGAGATGAGATGAGATATATTTATAAGGCAAAATGGTTTATTTGTAACGCGTTTCATCCGTGAGGACTTCATCGGACATCGGAAAAAGTTATTTCCAAAAATTCTTCAAAAACATTTGTAACTACCAGCCTCTGAGGTCAACAGCAAGTGGCGACAGTCCATTCCATGCTTCAATGTAATCTTCAAATTATGTCTGTTGTCTTTTGTCTCGACTTTATATATGGTTGTCAGTCGTTCATTATCCCGATGGTTAATCGGTAGGAGGTAACGGTTAAATTTCAAATTCTAGATGCTATTGAGTAAAAATAATTGTTGATACGAAAGCGTTGGTTTAGTGCTATTTTTATACTGTTATTGGTAAACGTATTTTTACTCATTATTTACTATTGATTACTTTATAATTACATTTAAATAACCAGTAAAAAGTATAATAATTGCACAGACATACGTCCGCGCGCACACAAAATGTCCTATATATATATATATATATATAGTCGAGGAATCTAAATGAAATAATAAAAACGAAAGAATATTAATCTACAACCCAGTGTGTCTAAAGATTTTATTGTTCAATATATATATATATATATATATATATATATATATATATATATATATGTTGTGTTTGTATCATTTTTATGCTGTATTCATTCGGATTATTTTCATCTGAATTTTAGCATAATTTGATTAACAAATCTCTGACCCTCATCAGGTAGTAATCACCGTTCAATTACTAAAATGACTGAGTCGCCTATAGGAAGAGAACATCGTTCCACACCGTTTACGAAAAGCCTCATTTTGAAATCTCCAGCCACTCATTTAATCAAGCTACGCTTGGAACTAATGGGACCTTCTGGCCTGATTGGTCCCTGTAGCCGATTTAAAATCACTCAACCGAAACTCGGTCATGCAGCCGGTCAGTATTGTTTCTGGCACGAGTCACTTCCTAAACCTGAGCTCAAATGATAAACTTGCCTTTGAGTTCGACTGCAAAGACGCCTGCTTGCATTATGATGATTTGGTTTTTGGAGCCGAAAACAACGGACTGCTGTTGATGCAACATTAACCTGACAAAACGAACACACACAGACACACGCATTAAGAAACACATTAACGTAAGTAAAATTATGTCCCCGTAGAAAGAAATATATATAATAATTTAGATACGAATTTTTAGCCAAAACTTCAAGGAATTTAAAAAATTGATCAATGATTTTTTTTTTTTAAATTACCCAGCTTTTCCAATGTCTCATCGGACATTTCACACATCTCTGGAAATCACATCGATTAAACATTGTAATCCAAAACTTTTTACTTCTTTGTAGCAGCTATTTCGAAATTTTCTGAACATTTGAATAGTAACAATGTTTTTGAGAATGTATGGCAGACAGGGCTGGTAAAGAGCGAAAGGCATGGCACGTGGAACTAGAACAATCTACTCCAGTGGACGAAATAAAAGGTTCAGTTCAAAATTCTAATCATCTGAAGAATGCCGGAGTGTACAACGGGCGAAAAATCGTGAATACGCCAACAAAGATGAGGACAGCAGTCTGATCAATGTAAATGGTGTAAATAATTGCAATACACCATCTCAGCAATATATATTTTCCAAGCATAGCTTAGATGAAGCACAAGGCCGAAAGTAGGGGCACCCAGTGAGGATCGAACTCACTACTCAGTAGTAATTGTTCTATGAGACAACTTTGCTAATCATTACACCACCTCAAGGTGCCCTCTCTCAGAACAAAGAATATATATATATATATATATATATATATATATATATATATATATATATATATATATATATATATATATATATATATATATATATATATATATATATATGTGTGTGTGTGTGTGTGTGTGTGAAAATATATAGAAAAAATAGGAAGGAACTGGTTAGGTAAATAATCCAAAGTCCCTTAGTATTTTTTATTATTTTAAAAAATAGTGCTCGATACAAAAGTAGAGCATAAATATAATTATTTATTTAAAATATGATTCCAAATCGCTACATAAGAGGTCTCATGTTTCAAAACTAGAGCCGAAAACTTCAATATAATCCTTTTAAATTAAATTGAGTTGAAAGTAAAATGGGCCCGTTCCATCCTCAAGCGAAATTTTTGTTGGAATAACGTATATCTGAAATTTACTTGTTTTAAATTGAAATCAAAATCACCATGGTAACAGCTATGGTGAATTGTCTAAATTGGGTAGGCGAGTGTAGGGTGTTTATAATAAGTAGCGGTATAGAGATACTTTCAAGGTGTCAAGTCGGGGAAAGGTGGGGTGTCAAAATGAAACGGAAGATGTAATTATCGTCTAGTTTGCTTGTCTATGAGATTTATTT